AAACAAATTAGTAAACTATGCCGAAATGCGTGGTTTCACATTCTCTAGCAGCAAATCTACTTGCGTGCATTTCTGTAGAAGGAAGCTACATGCGCTGAAAGAGCTAAAGATAAAGGATTCTATAATCAAGTATCAAGATCACGTTCGATATCTGGGGATACACTATGACAAAAGGTTAAACTTCCACCACCATATACAGACACTTATAAACAAATGTAAGAAAGACCTAAATGTAATGAGATGCCTCTCAAACACGAAATGGGGTGCAGATCGTGAGGCACTGCTTAAATTACATTCTGCATTAATACTCTCCAAAATGCAATACGGAGCAATTGCGTATGCAAACTCTCCCAATTACCAGCTCAAAGCCCTAGACGCAGTACATCATGCAGGCATCAGATGTGCTTTAGGAGCACTAAGAACATCCCCTGTACAGAGTCTTCTTTGTGACGCAGGAATACCGCCACTTGAGAACATAAGAAGTACGCAAATCCTTAATTACACTCTCCAGATTCGAACAAAATCAGACCACATAAACTTTCCAACTTTTGTAAATGCCGGCCATCCATCTGTAAACGACAGTCATGAAAGGAAGCACAGAAAGTCAGCATTTGATAGAGCACACATCTTAATGAAAGATATGAACTTATCATTCGATAATGTCATCCCACTCTGTATATATCAAACACCCCCTTGGATAATACCAGAAATAAAATGTCACACAGATCTAAGTATATATAAAAAAGGAGGCACGAGCAATATCATATATAAAGCGCTATTTGAGGAAGTGTTAAATCAATATGAAGACAAAATCTGCATATATACAGATGGATCTAAGACCAAACACGGTGTTGGGTACGCATTCCACGTTGGTAGTGAATCATACTCGTGGACCATGTCAAAATACGCATCCATCTATACGGCGGAAATATCCGCAATATGGAGAGCCCTAGTGTATTATGCAGAAAAGAGAGTGGAGAAAAATGTAATTATATGTACGGACTCTTTGAGCGCTATACACAAAATCAAGGACACATTATCTACAGAAGGATTTACACATAAAATCGTATCGTTAATACATAACCTGCGAAACTCAGGGAAGGAAGTAATATTTCTTTGGACTCCTGCACATACAGGCATATATGGCAACGAAGAAGCAGATAAAGCAGCACGAGCGGCAACAGAACAACCCACAACTGATAATAATATTAGTGTAGCGGACCTAAAACTAGAAATTAAAAGATGTAGCATGAACTTATGGCAGGAAACATGGAATCAGAATACCACACAATTAAGGGAAATAAAGGAAAGTGTAGAAAAATGGGAACACCCACCACTAAGCAGAAAAGACAGCGTAATACTGACCAGGCTGAGAATAGGCCACACATGGCACACATCTGGACACATACTTCGGAAAGAGGAACCACCAAAATGTGAAATATGCAAAACAAGACTCACCATTAAACACATTATTTTAGAATGCAGCAAATACAGTAGAAGTAGAAGAAAGCACCGGCTCTATGACACATTGAACGAAAACCTTAAGAGTACAGATATCATACAATATAGAACACTACCATTTATAAAAGAGATAGGCCTATTCTCCAAAATTTAAGTCAAGTAGGTAATATATACACTACATATAAGACAAAAGACGTGAATGTAGAATTGAAATAAAATACGCAGATATAGTATAAAAGATATAAACACGGTGGTTCGGAATCCACCTTAAACAGTAGGTCCCCGGCTAATGACCAACAGCAGTCGATGCCGGTAAATTAAAGACAACAACAACAACAACAACAACGTTTTACGCATCGAAACATGCAAAATAAAGCGAAAATATCTGGAGGCGGTAAACTCTCCATCGGTTTCGGATTCATTTTATACCAATTTCCGTGAAGCTGATACATCGTCGGTAGGAGTTCATTGCACTCTTTTGGTGTTGCAGTGCGGACAAGTATTCTATTCTTGGGCTTCATGAAATAAGATGTGTTTCGTACGGTCACTGGCAGTTCGTTGTAGCAAAATTGTGTATGTCTGATTGTGCATTCTACAGGAACACACTTCACGAGGTGAACTACTTCTCCAGCTGGGACGGCCATATACCCAGGCTGTTTCATGATGGCTAATGCCAGCTCATCCGGCTGGATGTTTGCTAACGCCAAGGCGTTCCGCAGTACCTGTTGTTCCAGCGCGCACCTCTGGTTGATGATGTTTGCATACAATTCCGTTAATTGTGTTTTTATATGCCTTTCTACGTATACAAATTTACTGTTCACGTACGTAAGGAGGTCCAGGTTGTTCACTTCTATCTTTGATTTTGATTTAAATGTGTTTTCTTTTGATGTTGCCAGAATGAATAATTTTGGATGTTCGGTTTTGAGTAAGAAATATCCGCAGAGTGGTAGTGTTGATGTAGTTGTGAGGGCAAAAGTAGTGTCTTGTGATGTTAAAGAAAACATTGTTGGTCCGGAGGTGGAATCCGGAGGACTGACTTTGTTTGCCATTCCCTCATAGAGAACGTCATACCGGTCAAAGTGGCAGTTGTCTTCCACGGTGGCCGTCCAGAATGTTGCTTCTCCTTCGGCGTCTTCGCATGATTCCTCTGTCACGAGGCAATGGCGGCCAGATGGTAGGATTAAGTGCGATGTCCCCAGTTTTATCGGGGCATAGAAACTTCGGAGAGTAATTGTCACGGATGCTTGGACCACTACATTATTCCATGTTCCGAATGGGTCACTGTACTGTGCTCCTGTACACCGTCCGTCCAGTGTGATTGTTCCGGCCAAGGTGAGGCTGCGCGTAGATGTAGTGTTTATTCTGAGTCCCGTTATTATATCGTTGGCAGAGAACTGTATTTGTCCAGTTCTATGGAGTTGATTGCAGAGTTCACTTGTTATTTCCATTAAGTATTCCCGTTGTCCTCCCTGCACCACGGAGGTGTGGGAGTACATTCCACAGTAGTATATTGTTCTGTCCACTTTTACTTTACACTGTATTACGCGCGTGTTTTTATACTCGGTTAACTGGAGCAACTGAATAAATTGGTTTTCGGATTTCAAATCGGAGCGCGGCACTTCACATTCACCAATGCCGGTAAGGGAGAGAGTCGTTATATTAAGAGAGCGTCCCGCACAGTCATACGCAACGAGCGCTTCGCTCGTTAGGCCGAAGGATAGTAGTAGTAGCACCGTTAGCACGATCATTGTTGCTGTGCTGTCTGTAGAGTACTGAGGTCTGTCGTTCACTGGTTTTATGTGTAGCACCTTTTCACCGAGGTGGGGGTATTTAGCGTCTGCGCACTTGGGTGGGGGTCCCGTGTCTTTGCATAGAGGGGGTACGTTGCACATTTTCTTGCTCCGCGCGCCGCACCGTCATTTCGCGTATTTGCACATTTTGAGCTTATTACTATGTACTACTCTAGACTTATTCCTAATGGTTATCTCGACATTATTATTAGCGAATAGTTGTGTGACCACGTAGGGTCCGGTGTACTGGGCATCGAATTTGCCCTTGCGTGGTTCTTTTAGTAAGAACACTTTATCGCCGACGTGAAATTCTACAGGTTTAAGTTTTCGATCGTAATAGTGTTTATATTTTAACTTCGCTGTATTTAGGTTTTGTTTCGCTTGTGTCTGTGTGTCGTAGATTTTGAGGTTGAGGTCCCTGAGATATGTTGTGTATCCTTCATCCGCTAAATCTAGTGGTGACGCATCGCTCGAGGGAACCCTAGCTAACTTTCCGTATACCAGTTCATGCGGAGTGAACCGCGTACTTTCATGTACACTAGTATTATAGGAGAACATGGCCATAGGGAGCCACGTGTCCCATTCCTGATTTTTCGATATGAAGTGTTTGAGGTATTCAGCTAGTACATGGTGCGATCGTTCTATGGATCCATTGGATTGCGGGTGAAACGCAGTAGTTCTGTAGTGTGAAATTTTAAATCTCTTTGCGATAACTTTAAATAGACTGTTTAGAAAATGAGAGCCTTGATCGGTAATGAGAGCTTTGGGTGCTCCGTGTTTGCAGATGAAAACGTTTACGAATGCTTCGGCTGCGTCGACGGCCGATGCCTTTTGGAGAGGAGCGGCAACGGAATATTTTGTTAGCAAGTCTTGCATTGTTAATATGTACGAGGAATTGTTGGAAGTGGTTGGGAGGGGGCCGACGATATCCATGGAAATTTTGTCAAACGCGGCTCCCGGTGTATCTGTCAGTGTCATCGGTTGTCTAGTCTTCTGTCTTGTTAATTTTTGAATCTGGCAGCTCTGGCAATTCTGGATAAATTTTTGCACCTCGGCTTTCATTGTTCCCCAATAGTACTTTTCACGGATTCTCGAATAAGTTTTGCTTACGCCCTTATGTCCGCCAAATGCAGATGTGTGGCATTCCGTGATTATATTTTCGCGTTCCTCTTGCGGGGGAGTTCTCGTGAGGCCCTGGCAAACTATTATTTTCACAGGGTTGAGGTGGAAGATTTGGATAATCAGACTTTGTACGACTGGCCACGAAACGTCATCTATTGCTACTCTCGCTATGCTAAATGTTTTTAGTTCCAATTCCCTTACTACTTCCAATAAAGAAGTTAAGGCTTCTGCAATATTATCTTTTTTCGCGGGTTCTCTCAAGCTGGATTTGATTGGAAGTCCTATTGCATGTTTCGAATTGTTATATGGTATTACCCTTGCACGATTTAAAAATATGCCAGGTGGACTCTGAATATGGTATGCGGTTAAAAATTCTTCCGCTGATCTGTCGAGCGGCTCTCCTTTCATAGTCATGAAATAAACAGTATTGTCTCTTCTCATGCTAAGCTTGTCGCGGGTTTCTGTTATCAGTCGGTGATGCTGTATGAAGGGTTGGTCGTCTGATACGAATAATTCATCGTCTGTACTGTCGTCGCTGTCGTATTGTGGAATGTCTGCCAGATTAGTTGGAGAGTCATTATCGATTGGGGACCAGTCAGCTGTGTCACTGGGGCAAGGATCCGGTGTATGTTGAGGTAGGTGTAGGGAGTCCGTGTGCGTAGGCGTTGTGTGTGGGGGGCTTGCGTCGAGTCTGTATGGGGGAAGCGTTATGGTGGGGGAAGCCGGTCTTTCAGTCGGCGGTGGCCTGGACTGGAGCGAGGATGGTGGAGAGAATAACGCGTCGTCGGAAGAAGACTCGCTTCCTGTGGTGAGAGGGAAGATTTGAACGGGGTTTCGGCTTAAAGCATCCGCGTTCATGTTTTCCTTTCCCTGCTTGTACACGACCCTATACTCGAATTCAGCTAATTTCAAGCGCCACCTTACTAGGCGAGATTGTGGATCTTTCACACTATGGAGCCATACCAGAGGTCGGTGGTCCGTTACCAATTGGAATTCGCGTCCATAAATATATGGACGGAAATGTTGCACGGCGTACATTATTGCTAGGCACTCCTTTTCTATTGTAGGGTAATTTAATTCTGCGGCATTTAGAACTCGGGACGTATACGCTATGGGTAGATCCTTCCCTATTATTCCCTGACTAAGCACGGCGCCAATCGCATGCCCAGACGCGTCGGTGCTGACAATGAACGGTTTCGAGAAATCAGGATACTGTAATATCGGTTCTGTACACAACATATCCCGTCCTATTATTCCCTGACTAAGCACGGCGCCAATCGCATGCCCAGACGCGTCGGTGGTGACAATGAACGGTTTCGAGAAATCAGGATACTGTAATATCGGTTCTGTACACAACATATCCCGGAGAGTCATAAAAGCCCTTTCCTGCTCCTGCTTCCATTCAAATTTTATATCCTTTTTCAGAAGTAAAGTTAGTGATTTTGCAATATCAGCGAATTTTGGTATAAAGCGGCGGTAATATCCAGCCAGTCCAAGAAATTGTCTAACGCCTTTGGCGTCTTTAGGAACAGGAAAGTTCTTAACAGCGCTTACATTTCGCGGGTCCGGTTTAACGCCGTCACGGCCTATAACGTGACCGAGGTACGCAACCTCCCTCCTCAGGAACTCACACTTGTCGGGTTGGAGAAATAGATTTGCTTCTCGTAAGCGGGCAGCTAGGTTTTTGAATTTTATGTTATGCTCGGTCAGCGAGCTTGCGTAAATGACAATATCGTCTAGATAGACGAACATCTCATTTCCCTGTAATCCCGACAAAACTGAGTCCATAAGTCTCTGGAAGGTGGAAGGCGCGTTTCGGAGCCCGAAGGGCATTCTATTAAATTGATAATGTCCATAGGGTGTAGAAAAAGCTGTTTTCTCAGCGTCCTGTTCAGCGAGTGGAATCTGATGGAATCCACTCGCTAAGTCAAACGTGCTAAAATATTTTGCACTACCCAATTGATCGAGAATTTCGGTGATGTTCGGAAGTGGGTAGGCGTCAGCTATAGAATTTTCGTTAAGTGCTCTATAATCGATCACCATGCGCCAACGCTTGTTTCCGTGCGAGTCGGGCTTTTTCGGAACCACCCATATAGGCGAGCTATAAGGCGAGGTTGACGGTCGGATAATATCATTTTCTAATAATTCGGAGACTTGCCTTGTAATTTCCTCGCGGTGTATCGGCGGGAACCTGTATTGTTTCACATGAATGGGTTGATCATTTATGGTTGGAATTTTATGTTGAATAGCTGTGGTTTTTCCCAGCCGATCACCAGGAAGATAGAACAAGTCGCTATTTGCCTCTACTAACGCTTCCACAACGGAGTGTTCCTCGTCGTTGAGGTGATCAAGACGCAGCAATTCCTTTACTGATTCTGCGCGAGATTGTTCGCATGTGGCGGTAAAGACAGTGTGTTTTCCTAGATACTTTTCGTGTTCGACCGACTCGCAGGGTAACGCTGTTGGATTCTCATATTCGAAAACGGAGTTTGGTTGTGGCGTTTCTTTCCTGCCACGAAGCATCGCGGAACCGGTGGAGTCAGATGGTTCAGTGGAACTGGAAGATTCAGTGGACTCAGTGGGAGATTCAGAGGATTCAGTGGATTTCGAAGATTTAGTAGATTCAGTGGATATAGAATATTTAGTAGATTCAGTGGATATAGTAGATTTCGAAGATTCAGTGGATGTTGTAATATTCAGTGATGAATAATTCTCAGGCATGTTCTCACGCCCAGCATTGCTTCTGTTATCGCGTCGCGACGAGATAACGTTGGAATGCGGTGGTGTCTCCGCGGGTTTCTCACGGGCGATAAGGCGGTTGGTAACCCGATACGCGCGGGACGGCGAAGCTGCGTTGCTTCTCATTACGTCATTGCTATGGAATGTATTTAGTCTAGTCTCCCGCTTATCGCATCCGGTCGAATCGATCTCTTCCAGTGAGACCGTAGGCGTTGGAATTTCGACTTGCTTATCTGAGTATGCGGTGGTGTCTCCGCGGTTTTCCTACGAGCGATAAGGCGGTTGGTAACCCGATACGCGCGGGACGGCGAAGCTGCATTGCTTCTCATTGCGTCATTGTTATGGAATGTATTTAGTCTGGTCTCCCGCTTATCGCATCCGGCCGAATCGATCTCTTCCAGTGAGACCGTAGGCGTTGGAATTTCGACCTGCTTATCTGAAGTATTGAATACGCGGGCGTACGCCTTCCCACGGCGATTAACCACCAGTGCGTCACCTAGATACACGCCTGGTGCCACGTCGAGCCTGGGAAGAATGCCTACCACCGGATGTTTATCTCGAAGGTTTATCGCGATACACGCTTTGGTTCTCGGCGGAATTGTTATGGCTGGCGCGTTAGCGAAA